TAATCACTCAACATAACATAAATCAAAAATTAATTTTAAATATACCTACCTATTAATAGCACAAAAGAGCTAAACTATCTTGAAAACTATTTCAAGTCTATAGTCTATACTCTGTAGATAATTAAAAATATTAATATTTGATATTAATGATATTTATTTTGTTTTTTTAAGTACATACTGGACGATTTTGAATTTTGACCCACAGAATACGAACTACCTACCTTTAGATTATAATTGGTACTACATACATGTGAGAAGTAACCACAAATCATCATCTTCTTATAAGTTCAACATTTTTTTCACTTTAAAGTTTCAGACAAGTTATAAATTCGACATCTTCTAAAACCTATAGAAATAATTGGTAATATATGTCACTCTTCGATTAAATATTGATGATGTATTTTATGGTACCCGGGTACCAAGTAAAAAACATGAAGATGATTTTAGGTTCTGAGCGGAGCGATGAATGTATTGATTTTACAATGATGTGTGTTTTTATGTTTATTTATTTTTTGTTTATGTCATCACGGTTTCTTGCAGTAAAAGTGCTTTGATTTTCTTCATTAGCAGCTTTTCTGGTAGTAAAGTGAATCTAGTTGGTGCTTTCAGTAGGTCAGTTTATAATTCCCAATAGTATTCAAAAGCAACAGAAAAAACAAACAAAAATTTAAGGAAAAAAGGGAATTTATACGCAAAACCATTTTTCGAAAAAATTGATTTTGGTTTTAAGTGTAACTCTAACAAAAATGACCTTAGATACATGACATTTTCACTGAATATTTGTGTAAGCATTTTCTATACACCATACAATTTTCAAAATATTTTGATTTGTGTTGAACTATTTGTCTATTTATAGACAAATTAAATTTTCGATTATTATTTTTTTTTTAAAACCCAAGTCGATAAAAAATTTTTCGCTCCGTCAAAAAACTTGAAAATGTCTTACAAGGTTCATTGTAAGCTGTTGTTAATGGAAATAAAAAAAAAAAAGTTGAGCGTTAATCCACAATAATTTTTTATGAACGTTTAAACTGAGAATTTTGACAAAATTCTTAAAAATCATGAAAATTAGCAAGTTATATTTAGTTAGACATTTATAAAAAATTTTCTATTTATATCTAAGATTTAAAAATGTAATACAAGATTCCTTACAAGTTTGTCTACCTTTATCAAAAAACAATTTCTACTGGAAAATCAAATTCAATTTTTATGAGCGTTTGAAGTGGAAATTTTTACAACATTGGATATTCACTCGATTTCTCTTGTAGCTATTTTCTTATTCTGTTGTAATTCAAAATCAATTACTGTAGACACTTGAAATTTGCAATAAATGTTTATTTCATCAATTCATATACTTTTCAAAATATTTTGACTCATTTTAAACTGTTGACGAACATTTTCAATGTTCATTTTTTAGTAATAAGTAATAACAATATAAAATATCTTAAACTGACTCCGCTCAGAATACTTTTTCGTATACAATGATTTGATATCACTGAATTCAAATTTAATATCATCCATTATAGCGATCTCTTAAGACACAAGACACCTAATGTACAGCAGAGCGACATCCACTTACCTGCTTTTTTATATTTACAACTAAACACCCCTAAACACAGCCGTCCTTATTTGGATAGGTGGGTTGGTTGTAAGAACACATTATTCTGAGGATATCAGTATAGGTGTACTTAGGAGGGCTTCAGATAAATATAATTGTACTTATCATATTGAGTTTGATGTGGTGAATGATAGTATAACACCTTTGACTTAGGTACTTATATTATCACTTTTGTAATGATTTATTAAAATCGTGTTTCAAGTCGAAGCATAATAAATATTATATCATTTTAGATTCTAAGCAGAGTGAGTTGTTATTTTTGAGAGGTAAAAATTGTACATTTCTAATGTTTTAAACTTTCTTAGTAATAAACGGGGGGGGGGGGGACTGATATAGTATTAATACCAGTTTTTGACTAATTCCATTTTATTGTTTTGGTATTGGTAAAAAAAAACTGTAGACACTTACTTGAAATGTTCACCAATTTTTTTGTGCTATTTGAGCTACTAAGACAAATTACATTTTCAAATTTTTGGCATGTTTTGTACTATACATGTCGATATTTTCGCATGGTTAAAAAGTTGGAAAATTGAATACATGGTTGCTCATAAGTTGTTGAAGTGATAGAATTTAAAAAATATCGAAAAATACGGTCAGAATATTTTTTTTTATAAGAGTCTACTTTATATTAGAATTTGAACGACTTTTATAAGATATAGGTACGAAAATGATAATTTTGTTAAATTATTTTGAGTTAGAAATTCATTAAAATTGAATACAAAATTCTTCAAATGTTTTTTTTAACTAAAATAAAAAAAGTTTAAGGAAAGTCACATTCATTTTTAATAACTATTATAAGTGATTGAAATTTAACTTTTTTGATATTGGTTACTCACTCTTTTGGTAAATTTTGGTACTTAGTTGCAATTCATAAACGAATCGTAAATATTTGACATTTTCAACAAATGCTTAAATATTATCATTTTCTCAATTCTGTAGGTGCATCGTGCGTGGTAATATTAAGTAGTTTTGATATTATAGTAATTTAAAAATATTAGATACATTTTTTTTATGAATGCAACTAACATAAATTGGTAAAATGGTGGGCAGAGTACTCCGCTAAAGTTCAGCCCCCCCCCACCAATATATTTGATTACCCTATGTCTATGGATAGCCACCACTGCGGCCCTATATATTTAAAACTATGTACTTGCCAAAAAGACATTCCATCGAATTCTAAGACTGATCTTCGCTATCTCATGTTTCATGTTATGTAGATTTTGTATTTTCCTGGCTTATCAACAACCCCATATGGTTGCACGATTCCATTGATATACATACATACTCAGTGACGCATTTAGAATATATGCGCTTCGGGGCCAAATTATTTTATTGCCACCCTCCCCCTTCTGGCCGCCGCTGTTCATTACAACATCAGACCAATCCTAGGGTTTAACAGTATACAATTTCAAAAGGTTTATTCAGTTAAGAAAAACTTCTGCTAATGTTTGTTGGTTATAAATAGTATTTTCTTCAGTGTTTATCGATACAATTGGCATCAAGACTTCTGATGAGTTAATCTGGCTATCTTAGAAAATAAAAATGTACTTTATAAAAATAAATAATGTCATCATATTTTTTAAACTTTAAGCTTTAAAATTATGTAATAAATAATTTAACAATTATAACTTCTTGGTTTAGCTTTAAACAAATCTTCAATATTTCTACATTTATCAAGAACAGCCTTGTTTTTTGCTTGCTTTAAATGTTTTGCCTTTCCGTAAGCTTATTCCAAGTATTTTGTATTTCAACCTACTGGGCATGTTTTGTAAAATAACACCAACACAGCAGCACGTGAGTAGGTAGGTACCAAAAAAACTACAAAAAATGAGTATACGTTACTCCTTACAAGGGCTACACCACCGATTAAATAAAAATATACCTTGCATTTTGAACTATAAACCAGGGGCGTTATTTTAGTTTTCTTTCTGGGTATGCAAACTTTGAGGCAGGCCAATTATGACATTTCACCAGGCCATTAAAAAAAAAAAAAATTTATATACATAAATGTAGTTAACCTATGTAAATATTCTTTCCTTCTCTTTTATAATTATAATTGAAACCCATAACGACTAATGCAACTTTTAAGTGGCTAGCCACTCAAAGAATTAAAAGCTCATGACTTATAAGTAGGGCTGGGGTTTTAATGCCCTAAAAAAACCCGAAAAATGTACTAAAAAAAATGCTTTTATGATCTACAAATTTTTTTATTTTTAATAATTTTAGTACCTATAAATTACAATAAAAAGTTTTAAAAATGCATTATATAAATCTATTACAAGTGTAAACTGTAAATACACAGTTTTAGTACAAATCTAAAAAAAAAGTTGATTGTCCGATATAATGCGAATTACGAGTACCTACTTATAATCTGTCATTTTTATTTGAAAACCATGTTGGTGTAAAAATCTTAAAATCTTAAAATAAAATTTCAAATTCATACACTTGGTTTTCAAAAACTCAAAAAATGCTCCAAAAACACTAAAATGCCCTAAAAAAATAAGAAAATGACCTAACAATTAAAAAATGCAAAAAAATGTAAAATAAACTTTCTTATTCTCATTCAAATGTACATAAAACAAATTTGTGACAAGACGAGCATTGCACAGTACGCTTTGAAAAACAATGCAAAGTGCATCGAAATCCCAGCCCTACTTATAAGCAATTAAAGCAGCTAGCTAAAGCCATTTCACTAATATATGAAAAAAAAAGGCAAATAAGGTATAATCAATAAAACTAATAAACAAAAAATATACAAAAACTTGAAAAAAAAAATTTTATTTATATTACCTATACATGAAATCATAACGAATAAGTTAATTATGACGGCGCATTGATGGAAGGACAATTGTTAACATTTTTTAGTTAGTGGTGCCATTGCACACCCTGCAAAACCCACCCAAATGACCCTCCTGCTCTTAACGGCTTGAAATCGTTTAGTAATAATTCGTTTTATACATTATAAGTAGTATTTATATGAAAGCTCATTATCACAAAATCGTTGAGTAATAAAAAAAATGTTTTATCCGTATACAACTTATACATGTTCAATGTTATATATTTTGTGATACAAAAAAAAGTACACTCGATAAAACTACCGCCCCTAAAATTCTTAAAATTTGCCACGAAGGGCATTCCCCCCCCCCCCCCAAAACTGTACATACTACACCGATTATTGGTATTTATAATCTAGTGGCAATTGCTAGTTTACACACTCCCGAGTATATTTTGACGGAAGGATTGATGTTACTTATAGTCTATGGGTTAGTTATGGGTAGTCAAAACTGATGCTGTTTTTTGATGTTATTTTGACCAAATTAAAATTAAATAAATTCAATTACAGTTGCAAATAGAATTTTATTATAATAGTTTAAAAAATTACATAAAATAATAATATTTTATATGCCACTAATAGTATTTAATAATAATAGTACAATTCATTATCACATATAATAGCTATATAGGTTAATAGTCTACATAGTTAATGTGTATTACAAAAAAAACATTTTACTGAGCAGTATCCATTGCTTTCAAATCTGATTGAAAATATAATATTAATAAAAATAATAATCTGAGTAATAAAAAATAAAAATAAAAACTTTCCAGTATACTAAAATATTTGTTATATAAAAACAAAAGTTACAAAAGTTAAATAAGTATCAACAATTAATTCAATTTTGTTTTTTTTTGTTTTTTAGCATTGAGCATCATTATTTGAAAAGCATTGAGGTTCACTTGTTCATGAGGTACTGTAACACTGCAGTCAATATCTAAATATACATACAAAAAAAATGTATTCAAATATTAATACATTTTTTATTTGTATGTTAAACTAACTCAATAATAAAAAGTACTTAGTGTTTGATTTTGTTACTGCATAAGTGTAGAAGTAAATTTCAAAGCAATAAGCATTCACAATACTTTATGATAAAATTATCTTTCTTTAAGTGAATTAGCTTAATATTTATAAATTATTATAATAATTTTTTTTTATGAAGTAACAGAAACAATAATAAATAAATATGTTAAAATATACTCATTGAATTTGTCTATTTTCTAAAAAATTTTTTTAAAAAGTAAATATTTTTTTCCATTATTATTTAAAATAACATATAAATTGTATAAATTACTGTTACTTAGGTAACATGTAATTATCCTGGATAATTATAAATATATGAACAAATAATTAACAGTAAATGTTTTTATGAAAATGTTTAATAAGTTTTTTTTTTTTAAAGTTTTTAATCAAATATATCATATTTTAATAAAAATATATCAGTAGTGTGTTGAAGGGGAAAATGTTCCTGGACAGCAAATTTTATACATGGGCTGCAAGTTTTTATATGGGTGAGAAAAATTGCTACTACAAAGAATTGGTAGGGAGAAGAGGGGTGCACAACAAATGTGGGCAGCAAAATCCTAAATACTGGAGTATAATTGTAAATTATTATTCATAAATAAGTTTGGCTAGTTATAATACTGTCCAATTAAAAAAATTAAATGTTTTAACTAATATACCTGATGTGGCACTTCTATTTAACATACTGCTTGACATTATTTTTGGTTTCTTCAATAGATGGTGATCAATTAAACTTTTAGAATTATGCTTTTGAAGATCCATGTTTAGTTTTTGTTGTTTATCATTCAAGATCATACATTCTGAACTTTTATCTAATACTTCGCTCTTTCGTTTATTTGTTTGGACAAGATTTTTGATAGAGCAATTCTCTTTAGATTGAACTGTTGTTTTTGGAACTATGTTTTCAATTCCTATAACTTTTTTCATGTTACAGTTAAGCTGTTGTTGCATATCATCATCACTTGAAGTATCATCATCTAAAATATTTTGCTCATACTCTTTAATGCAATAATTAATCTTATCTATAACTTTATTGCATTTAAATTTGACATGATTATCAGGAACTAAAATTGACATTTTAATAAAAAGTCGCTCCAAACAGACTATTATTTTTTTAATAAAATCAATATCTAAAATGAATACATAAATATTATTTACAATACATAATTAATATAAAAATGTTTGTTCAAATAAACATACTTGAAATTTTATAATTTTTGAATAAACTATCCCAGATTTTTAGTAAATCATTCAATAGTTTTATCTTAGATGTTTCTGTATTAAGGTTTTTATGAAATACAGCATGATAGCCAGGAGAAGATAATCCACAACCTATGTAATCTGTTACTAAATAAAATAGAAGTATTCTTTCCATAGACTCATTACGATCAGACCATTTATTCATTTCATGTTTCTGTGAAAATACAAAATTAAATAAGAATATACTTTATTTAATAGTCCAAATTTTATTTAAATGAAGTGTGGTATCACAAAGTCAAAATAAGTACAATAACTTGGAGTAAAGTTGTTTTGTACAAATACTGATATATTCTGCTTAATAAGAGAACATCACACCTAGATGTGTGTTCTCCATCTTATAGATGAATACTTTTTGAATTAACAGTATACATTTTGTGTTGTTAGCTTTAATATAATAGTGAGTTGATATATTATCAAATGTTAAGGAATAAATAATACCTAGGGAATTTTAAATTCTTTTTTGATAAACATTAAAATTCTCATAACTTGCTTTCAATTTTTAAACATGTACTAATTAAAGGCAACGGAATTCCTTAGATAATATTCTTACCTAGTTACCTTTAAATTTGATAATAGGTAGCTCAATTTACTCTTTTATGAAAGCTAATAATACAATTTAACTAATATATTAATAATTATGTGGTACTTTTGGATATAATTGAAACTATGTACCTATGTTAATGTAATAAGGAAGTTGCAGAGAAAAGAAAATTAAAATTATTTTTACTAATGAGCTTAACCGGAGAAAATGATGTTTGCCTACATAAACAAATTATTTAATCCATAAACAATTATGAAAGTGCATGTAATAGCATAAGTAATTTATCTAATCATAAGGGCAATCGTCAAAAAGTACATTTTGAAAAAAGTTCAAAAATACAAAATATTCTTCTATTCAATTTTAATTTATAATAATATATAAGACTGTAAAGGTAGGTATTTCATACACAATTATTATACATTTATGCTATTTTAATATATAATAATTGACTTAGGTTACAATTCCTTATACTTACATACAGTTTACCATACATACATTGATCTCTACAATATTTATAATTTAAAAAAATAATTAATACAAACTTCCGATCACTCTATAATAATAATAATAATTTAATATAAATAACGTAACTTGCAATTTAAAAATGTTTCTATTGTCAACTTATTATTCGCCAGATTATTTGCTATAATTTTTTGTATTTGTTTACCTAATGGTTCACAACTATATACTAAATTAATTATTAGATTATTAAATTTAGTTAAATTTATTAAAAGAATATTATAATATTAAAATATATAATTTATACCTATAAAATAAATTATATAATTATAAATGAAAATATAATAGAAAACCTACTTTGTATTTTTGACTTTTTGTCAGACAATAAAAAAATGTATCAGGACTTTTAGTAAAACTTTTTTCAAAATGCACTTCGACCGGGATTCAATCATAAGACACCTGCTCTCAGTAAATAGTTGGAGGGTGAGAATGTACGCAAAATATTCTTCATTAGTGTTTCCGTTATTTAATGATTTAATTAAAATACTTACCATCAATTTGAGGCAATCTGTAGATGTTAGTTGAGTGAGAAAATTACACACTGGCATTTGAATTTCACGCACACTTTTCAAAGCTAATACTTCGGCAAAAGTGTATAAACCATTGTCATGTGTAATCAACTCAGACTCGTCAAACATTTTAAAATCTGTATTAAAATACAACCACGTGAAATGGAATGACGACGCTTGCGTAACAGCTCAGTATCCAAATCACGACGGCTTACGTTAACTAATTTATATATTTGTATGTTGGAAATTGAAATGTATAACATTCATGAGAAGTACGAAAATGTAATAACTCATTCGTTACAGTAATGTATAACGTAAATACATCTGTGTCCGGAGTCGAGAAGAAAAACGTATTTCAAGGGGAATGCAGAATGGTCACCGAAAACAAAAATAACACTATAATACTCAATACCATTACTTTTGTCATGCTATTGTGATTCGTGGAGAACCGAAAATGTTAAAAAAGGCGCCAACAATCAATATCATATGTTCAGATTGATAATAAACACGGACTATGTGCTATCATCGATCCAACATAACGATATCGGGTAACAGCCGTCGATTCGAGGGTGGTCAGCCTGTAAGAAACGCAATCGGGTCACAGGTGACGTTGCACGTTTCACAACAAACAGGCATGGGTTGTCAAATCCGAAATCGTCATCATTCGTGCTGGAGCCCGACTTATCGCCGCCAGTTCGACGTCAGTCGTCATCCACTCTGTGTCCGTGGGCTCCGTAGTCGTTACTCCCTTGCGATGACTTTAAAACGGTATTGTGGATCTGTTGCCCGGCGACGACCATAGTGGCTTAATAGGATTGGAGTAGTTCTGTCGATGTGATGCCGACTCAAGTGCTCCATACCAATAGCAACGTCAAAAACGTATTGCAGATAATGAACGCCGAACCGTCGTCAGCGCCCAACAACAATTCTCAACAGCATCTAATGAATGACGAGACGGCAGGTGGTCGTTCGCCGATCACCGGCAGACAGAAGATCACAGTCGTTATACTGTGCTTTGTCAATTTGATAAACTACATGGACCGGTACACAATAGCAGGTAATTATAATTTTTTCTTATCTACTCTCTTCTCGATCCTCGAGGCCTTGTGGGCGACGAAAGTTCGAGGACGGACTTTCCGTGATAAATTATCCCTTCTTATTTAATGATAATATTTATTTGCTCCTTAGTCGATGTTTCCTTAAAATCTGAAAATCAATAGGTACGTCGTGTTGGTAGTTTATATTTGAGTAAATTCATGAGTAATATAAAGAACCATTGCTTGCTGTCAAACAGTTTTTGATTTGATACTGTTCACTTGGACACAACACTAATAACTGTTGGCCATTATTTACTTTATTCTTTCCCTACCTTATTAATAGTATAAGAATTATTTAAAGATACTGAAATTACAAGATAAGAAAATAATTTTGTTTAAAGATAGACTAAAATCTTATGTATCTATTTGAGTACAACATATTATAACTTTGTAATTATTATGAAAATAGTTTTGAACACTATGGAACCAAATATATTTTTATAACAGTGTGTGTGGCTTGTGGCGGCACTAAAATCAAGTGTTCTGAACATAATAACTTAACAATTTAAAAACATTTAAACTTGTTTTATTGCTGTCATCTTTACTACTGCTTACTTTTTTCATAAATATTTAATGCATTTTATATCCCTGTTTATACATTTCATGTTCTAAAAATTCAAAAATAAAAACCTGTTTACAACAAGACCATAAAATTATATATTACCAAAATCCTCTGACAATTAAAATATAATATAGGTAAAGAATTTCTATATGTATAGAAATATTTTACATTAAATAGTGATAATGAAATAATCATTAATTTCTGAACAATAAATAAAAAAAAACAAATTGATTCATTATCATAGCAAATATTCCAATCATTGATAATGCTTGAAACCAAGATTTGAAAATATTTGTTAAACATTTATTGATAACTTACTATTAAATAATACAACAAATTGATGAATTGTTACATTTATGTACATCAATAGGGTAGATTTCAGTGGTTGGAAACAGGTAGGTGAAATCCCCACCCCTTCTTTGTATTTTTTTGTACATATACATATGTATACAAATTAATATAATTTTTAAAAATATGTTGATATATGTATGTATGCAACTTTTTAATGTAACCCCTCTCATTGAAAATATCTGTTCACGCCATTGGTAGACTGTGGTAAATTTCTCAGTAACCCACATAGTAAAAAATAATAATTGTAATGCAAACTTCAGAAAGTACAATTACAACACTCACCATCTGTAATATACTCTAATTAAAACAGTTAACATATCTATCCTTATATTATTATGGATACTTTTATTTTAAATAACACATTTTATAACTCATGTTGATTCAATTAAAAGAGAAGAGAGTTAAATAAGAGTTACTTATTTACAACACAGTTATTGAGGTAAGTAAAAATTGTGTACACATAGAACAAATTATGAAAACTGAATTTATAAAATAAATAAAAAATGATTTGTTTGCAAGTAGTATGTAATACATTAACATCTATATCTCCAAGTCTATTTTGGTTTCTATTGGTTTTTGAAAAAATATATCCATACTTAAAACTTCTTAAGTTAATTTTGTGTCCAAAAATGTTAGGGTAGGTATGTCTTCATAAGTATTAGAAAATTAAGTTACAAAATAAGACATAGGTAGGTTCCAGATACAAGTTTATTTATCAAGTAGGTATGTTTGCCCCATTTTATTCTTCAATAATGCAGTTATTCAAAATCTGATTGATTTTTGTGGTATGATAATTCTTACAGTGTACAATTTTTATGGTTCAGACATAAAAACGAAATACAAGATTCATCATACTGGAATTAAGTTTGTTGAAAGCTACATTCATTTTTTGTAAACATTTGAAAATTGAATATCTACTCAAACATGAAATATCAATTTTTATTTTATTGTAATAAAAAAATGTATTTTGAAACTTTTTCCATTATCTATTTTCATATTATTGTTTTTGTATACACACAATGAAACTCGTAAAATTTAGAATTTTAGACTAATTTTTGATTATATTCCACGTATAAAGTAAACAATTTTGCGGGGGTTCTTATCATAGTCATTCTCATGAGGGTGCCGAACGTGCCCTGGCACTCTTCATAGATACATATAACTAGTAGATAGCCGACTGCCCTATACGGCCAACGTATTGCAATCAAGTTGGTGCGCCATATCCATATGCTATGTGGGGTTTGCTTACATCTGATATCACACATATATCAGTCGGAATTTAAGATATTAAAATTAAAAATTCTTAACAGTCCTCAACTCAGGTTATTCCATTCAGCATAATGTAAACATAACCCACATGACAAATGGCAGTAAAACTCTTGGATAAGAATAATAATTAGTTGGCCATCTAGTAGTTTTATATATCTATAATTTGACACATTGGAACCCTCGGAATTTTGTAATTGGAGCCCAACAATTGAAGTCCCATTATAGGGGCAGTAGAATAAAATGTATTTTTATTCGGAAATATGTGGTAAAATATAATAAAACGTGATAGTATATTGTGTGGCAAGGGTGAACAAATCTCCAAAGACGTATTGCCTTTCCGCACGAACCACACATAATCATTTGCGTTCATCGATCACGGCAAGGGTAATGCCGGGAATTATGAAACAACCAGACTTTTCTACGAAAACAATTTCATGAAAGAAAAATGTTTACAAATTGTAATGCAAGAAGGTTATAATATGGAATATGAATATAAGATGTAACCAAAAGTTTATGTTTGTAATGATCGTAGTTTAAATTTCAGTGTATGGTTGTGTAAGGGATGCACCTAGCACTTTTTGAAATTTGAATTTTGCCGCCCTGAATTGGGGATTCCCACTTTCCAAGTTTTCAACCGTCATCGAAAATTAAAATGTCGGTGCCGGCGTGACGAAAAATATTTCGTTACTAACCTAACCTTCGTGGAATAACTTATTATTATTAATTATTATAACTGCTAGATGTTATTGGTTATACAAAAGTACAAATAATAAATAGACATTGCAACTATCTTAAAAATGATAATAGATTCAAAGAAATAAAATATAACTTGGTAGTTGGTAAAAGTAATTGTATACCACTTATTAATATGTACATTTCTTGTTAAGAGCGGGAGCAAAAATATTGTAGGCACACCCGAAATTTAGGTCTGCCTATGCTAATAGTTATTGTAAGCAGCGCAGTCTGGGAAATAGAGATTGTCCATAAGAAAACAGAATATTCCATCAGAAATGATATAATACCAATATACCATGTAATGAAACCCAAAAATAGTGTTTTTTTGGTTTACTTAATACTTAATTTAGTTTTTCTTTCCATTTTCAATTGTATTACTTAGTTACAGAATACCTACAGTTATTATTACTAATTAATACTTTTATTAAATCGCTCCAAATTATTTCGATCAGCTCAAACTTTCGCCAGCTAAGGCGTTTATCACCCACTCTAGCCGGTTCATATCTGCTTTAAAATTAAACATTTTTTTGCTAATAAACAAAATATTATTCATCTATCGTTGATCTAAGTACAACTTTTGATGAACCTAGTTTTAAATGTTTTAGTTTTTGAAAAATAATTATCAATATGTTGAATAAAACCTAAAATAGTTCGAAAATTTCTATAAATCGTGCAAAAAATTCCAAGGTATTTTGAAAATTTTAGCAGGTCTTGAAAATGTTTACATAAAAATTTGTTCAAAATGTCTATATTATTTAAAATACGAATTGGAATGAAAAAAACAAAATATATTTAATCGGAAACTGGTTTTGCGCAATACTTTCCAATTTTCCCTTTTTAGATTCTGATTACTACCTAATGAATTTATATTACTTTCGACCCTTCAAAGACCTTATTAGATCTAATTTTCTACTTGAATCTAACCGTTTAAGTTTAAAATTGAAGCATTGTATTCAGTATCATTCTGGGTTTTGATGCCTTGTACAAAAAAGTTAACCTGCATTTATACATTGTTATATAATTATTTTATCTATTAAAACAAATTATAACCAACAATATTTTACATACTTTAACTTTCAATTTTACATTATACCCATTATATAGCATAACCTAACCTAACCTGGAAACATATTAATAATTGTATCTGTTTATAAATTGAATATATACTTGGCCAATTCTATATTGGTTCCCGGGCCCTAACCTCACATGCCGAACTGATTGCCGCTTGAAAAGGTATTTTATTATGTTAGGCCGAATCAGTCCCCGTTTAATTACGCGTATTGTTCTTCTCAATTTTACAAGTGTAAGACTGTCAAGCTTAAAGTAGGGTAGGTTAAAAATCTGTGGTTATATGTGTTAAAAAACATAAAATATAGTATATAACATTTAATCTTTTATAGTCAATGATTTGGAAGTTTACCAATCATCACTTAGGTTAACATAACAAAGGTAAAAATACTTGATTAAAAATAAAAATAATAAAATCAATTAAGTAAAATTTTAAATCGTTGGTTTGCAAATTTGAGCAATCTGTCTTCAAATATTCGTGTAAGTTTATTCTCATTAATGTTCTCAGTCATACAGTTTTCTAAGTGTTGGTTATTTATTTCCTGTTTGCTGGTAAGTTTTATTAATTCGAAATTGAATATAACAATTTATTCCATATGCTATGAAGTACGAAGTGTGGGTAAATTTATATTTTGTACTAATTATACATACATAATATGATTTACTATTGCAAAAGAATGCTTAAAATTAAAATTATTTCTATTTGAAATGAACACAAACAGAACCAATTCGGCTCAACTGAATAAAATACCTTTTTGAAATTCGATTATTCTCATCTCCCTCAATAAATATACAAGTTAAAAGATACAGGTTGGCTTATTAAAAATCTAGGTTTAGTTAATAAGTTTTGAATTATACTTGTTCTGTGTTCATACTTCAATTGTGTACACAGAATTATAAAAATGTATTAGAATTATACGCACAATGTGTTGAATGAATAAACTAGACTGACATTAGTTCAAAAATAATTTGAAA